ACACACACACACACACACACACACACACACACACACGCACGCGCGCACACACACACACGTACACACACTCCTTCTACAGCATGTTAGTCTCTCTTCCAGGCCTCTGCTCTTGCTCTCCCTTCTTCCTGGAAGCCCTTCTTTCTCTCTTTGCCTGAAGGCAATTCTTTCAAAGAATTCAGGTACAAGCAGCTCCTCTGGTAGCTTGCTTTGACCAGTCTCCTCCTCCTGCCTGGCTTAGGTGGCCCCTCTGTGCTCCTACGGCCCTCCTGTTTGCCTCCCATCATATCACTGACTGCCACACCCCCAATAAACTGGCAAGGACCTAATCTAATGCACCCTCTGGGTCCCCAGCTCCAAGCACAGGAACCAGCACACCAGAATCTTCAGTCGCTTCTTGCCCAGAAACCTCCTAGTTTGGGGCAAAGTGTGGCTGAGCCTTGCGCTGGTACTGAGATGATTTTAGACAGTTCACTGGCACGGGTTCTCACAGTTTGGAATCTCAGGAAGTTTCCATTTTCAACTCTCAACTTTTCTAATTACACCAGGGAGAGAGGCCCAGTCCACTGCTACTGTGTCTTCAATACCTAGACACTGTATAATCTCCCTTTTTACCAAAGAGAGAGCAGGCCTCTGGGAGGCTGCAGCATCTGGTTAGAACCAAATTACATCATTCTATTTCTTCTTATAGTTTCTTTCTATTTGTGGAAAGTCATATTGGTTTCCCATTTATGGCAGGGATTTAAAACCTCTTTCATATAAATTTTAAGTGATTCCATTTAAAGACAATGTTAAGTAACAGTACAGGTGGTACACAAATATGGAGTGTAAAATACCACCACACTTTTAAACTTGGTATGAATAAAAGAATGTAAAATATCTCATTAGTAATTTTTATATTGATTACATGTTGAAATGGTCATATATTAGATATATTGGGTTAAATAAAATATTTTATTAAAATGAATTTCACCTTGATGAAATGTCATAGAACTACACACACACACAAGCAGATGCAAAAACTCGTGAGATCCTAGTAAGGTCTGTAGTCTAGCTAGTTGTATTGAGCAAAAATGCTAATGCTCTAGTTTTTTTTTTTTTTTCCCCCTTTTTGTCTTTTTTCGTGACTGGCAACGGATCGCAACCCTCAGTGTCGCGCCCGTACAGGACCAGGACCGGCAATGGGATCGCAACCCTCGGTGTTGCTCCCGCATCTCGCTCAGCCAGTGAGCGGCCGGTCTGTACGTGGGATCCGAACCCTCGGCAGGAGCGCTGCCGCGCTTCCCAAGCGGCGCACTGTAGCAGTGCGCCACCGGGCCGGCCGAATGCTCTAGTTTTGATAATGCACTATAGTTAAATAAAATGTTATCATTAGGGAAAGCTGGGTGATGGGTACACAGGACCTCTGTATTGTTTTTGCAGCTTCTTGTGAACTTGTAGTTATGTCAAAATAATAAGTTTAAAAATATTGATTACATCTATTTCTTTTTACTTTCTAAAACGTGACTACTAAAACATTTCAAGTTACATATGTGCTACAGTAATCAAGACAGGTGGTATTAACAGAAGGATAGACACATAGATGAATGGAACAGAATGCAGAACCCAGACAGACTCACAAATATGCCCAACTGCTTTTTGACAAAGGTGCCAAATCAGTCAATGGAAGAAGAGTAGCTTTTTCAACAAAAGGTGCTGGAACAATTGGACACTCTTCGGCAAAAAAAATGAAACTTGACCTAAAAGATACACCTACATAAAACTGAACTCAAAATAGATTGCAGACTTAAATGTAAAATGTAAAATTATAAAACTTTTAGAAAAAATCATAGGGGAAGATCTGCAGGATTTAGGGCCCGACAAAAAGTTCTTAGACTTGACACCAAAAGCACAATCCGCACAAGGAAAATTTGATAAATTGAACTTCATCAAAAATTTAAAAACATTTTTTGCAAAAGACCCCATGAAGAAGATGAAAAGACAAGGTACAGACTGGGAGAAAATATTTGCAATCATATCTGAGAACGGGCTGTTATCTAGAACATACAAAGAACTGTTAAAGCTAACAGTAAGACATAAAGCAGAAGAGATATATGATGACAAAAAAGTTCATGAAAAGATGTTCAATCTCACTGGTCACTTAAAAATGCAATTTTTGGGGCCGAACCCATGGCTCACTTGGGAGAGTGCGGTGTTGGGAGCGCCGAGGCCGCAGGTTCGGATCCTATATAGGGACGGCCGGTGCGCTCACTGGCTGAGCACGGTGAGGGCGACACCAAGCCAAGGGTTACAATCCCCTTACCAGTCACAAAACAAACAAACAAACAAACAAAAACTGCAATTTTTTTTCTTTTTGTCGGTTGGCCAGTATGGGGACCCAAATCCTTCACCCTGGTGTTATA